TCCAAACTACCATGCCACTCCATCATTTCAGACATTAACTCCTCCTCCTCCTCCCAATAATTTCCCCAGTCTTAGGGTTCTGTATTTCGCTGTAATGCCTCACAGAACTCACAGACACCCAAGGGTTTGTCTCACGTAGTAGTGGTGGAGGCTGGCAGGCTGGCGAGTCCCGGGTCCGTGAGTAGGTCTGGCAGATCCTCCCAACTCTCGGGGTTTGATGAACCTCGATCAGCAGATCAGATGATCAGGGACGGCTGCTGTCCCAAATCCAGGGGTGAGATGAGGATGATCACAAAGCAGGAAATTCGTAGGTATACCCTTAGGGAAGCTAAGGGTGGTGATTTGAATTACACCTTCCATCAAGGCAAGACTCAAGATACATTCCACCTGTGTTGCCCCAACAGAATTAACCTAAATCCCATCACAGAGTTGATTGCCAGTCATTATAGGGAATGACTGCTACCAGCTGCCCAGCCAAGTTGATACCTGACCTTAACTACCACAGCACCCCAAACAGGCATGGATAATGGGATTTACAAAATATCACAGAATGGAGGACAATGGCTAGAAGGGCCACATCAAGCAATTCACTGCAGTGCATAGCCCTGAGACTTTGATCCTTAGTTACCCTTCAGACCTGGAACTGAACCCACTCCTGGGGATCACTGTTCAGCCAAAAAATAGACCAATAAAGTATACCATGATACCTGTGAGGAATGTAATCCTCAGAACAGTCAGCCGTGTGAGACCAAAGGGCAGCATTTATCCAATAATAAAGAACAGAAGCAGGGAGGGGCTAGGAAGAAGGATGAATAGAAAGGGGAAATTCCGGGAGGAAGTGGGAAGAGTGCTGTTACATTGAGGGGATTGCAACCAATTCACAAAACAAAATGTATATAAATTGTTGAATAGAAAACTAACTTGCTCTGTAAACTTTCACCCAAACTACAATTTAAAAAACAGATAATAAGTAAACTTAAAAAATGAATTCCTACTGATGAATTCTAATCCATCACCAGATGGCTCCTTCTGGCTTCTTCTCTTGTTTATCTCTAACCTTCAACAGGGAGAAACCTGGCGCCCACCATCCACCAATCATTTACTTGATTGTTCATTTCCAGTATACATGCAGAGTGGTTTCAGGGTAACATAGTGTCTAAGGTATTTATTTGACTGCTAACCAGAAGGCTGGTGGTTCAAACCCACCAGCCACTCCTTGGAAGGAAGTTTTGGGCAATCTACTTCCGTAGTGATACTGCCTCAGAAACCCAAGGAGGGGTCACTGTGAGTCGGATCCAACTCAATGGCAGTGAGTTTGTTTTTGGTTTGGTATGTAGTTCTTTTCATTTTGCCTTACAATTGCATTCATTTTCCAAAGTTATTTAGGTTAGTACCTTTCCTCGTCTCTTCAGTGAGGTTTCTGACATTTGTAATATGGATAGATTCTTTGCCATAGGCTGTATTCCATCCAAGGATCCCCTGGCTGCCTAAATGATCTTTTAAAATTTGCATGTATTAAGATCTACTATTTGAGTTGTAAATATCTCTGGGTTTTGACAGGTGCATAGAGTCATGTATCCACCATTACAATATCATACAGAATAGTTTCAACCTCTGTGCTTCACCCATTGCCACAAACCCCTGGCAACCACTGATCTGTTTACTCTGTCTGTAGTTTTGCCTTTTCTATAAGGTCATGTAATTGGAATCATATCCTATGTAGCCTTTTTAGACTGACTTCTTTCAGTAGTATGTGCTCTGGTAGAGTGGAATTCAATATGGGGATTTGGTTTCCTGAAATAAGTAACTGACCACGTTGTTGTAGAACTCTGGAAACAACCTATTCTAGTTTTCCTATCTTTTTTTTTTGTATGTGAAGACAGTGGAAGTCTTAAAGAATCTACAGACTTGAACTTGGATATTACGTATTTGTACGGCACATAAGAGGTTCAGGTTCACTCATTCCTTCTTCATCCAGTATTTCCTATTAAATTGCTGAGTGTACTACTTACAAAGTGCTGATTCATGTTCTGGATTATGGTGATACAGTGAGGGGTCTCTTCCTTAGTAAGCTTATAGGCTAACTGGGAAGACAAACAGTTACAGTACACAGTGATCAAGATTATAATGGGGAAGTACAGGGGGGTATGGGAACACCAAAATCAGGGTATTTGACCAATCTAAGAGAACTCCTCAGAAGGAAGGTTGGGCAATCCTACTTCTATAGTGATACTGCCTCGGAAACCCAAGGAGGGGTCGCTATGAGTCGGGGCCGACTCGACGGCACACAACAACAACAACAAGAGAAATCAGAGGAGGCTTCATGGAAGAAGTGACCTCTAAGATACGGCCTTCTGTAGGAGTCAGTTAACTATGATCTGTGGGCCAAGTCTGCTGCCTGTTTTATACCATCCATGAGCTAAGAATGGTGTTTACCATTTAAATGAATGAAAAGAATCAAAAGTGAATAATGTTTTGTGACAGATGGAAATTATATGATATTCATAGATGGCCAATAGACAGATGAAAAGATGCTCAATATCATTAGCCATCAGAGAAATGGAAATCAAAACCACAGTGAAATACCATTTCACTCCCACTAGGAGCGCTGGTGGCATAGTGCCTAAGGCATTTGACTGCTAACCAGAAGGCTGGCGGTTCAAACCCACCAGCTACTCCTCGGAAGGAAGGTTGGGCAATCTACTTCCTTAGAGATACTGTCTCGGAAACAAGGAGGGGTCGCTGTGAGTTGGGATCGACTCAATGGCAGTGAGTTGTTGTTGTTGTTGTAGTTTTTACGATGGCCAAGATTAATAACAAAATGGAAAATAACAAGTGTTAGAGGGGATGTGGAAAAATTAGAACCCTTGTCCATTGTTAGTGGGAATGCAAAATGGTATAGCCATTGTGGAAGAGAGTCTGGAAGTTCCTCAGAAAACTAGAGGTAGAGCTGCCATGTAACCCAGGGATTTGTCTCCTAGAAATATACCCTAAGGATCTAATAGGAGTGACACAATGAGACATGAGGTAGGTACCATTATTATCTCTGTTTTGCGGCTAAGGAAACTCATGTGAAGAGAGGTTATGTAACTCAACCAAGATCCCAGAACTAGCAAATTTAGAAAATCCAGATTTGAAACTAGCAGTCTGACCCCATTTTAGGGGGGACATGTGTGTACCTACGTTCATCGCAGCACTATTCACAACAGCAAAAAAATGGAAACAACCTAAGTGCCCATCAGTGGATGAATGAATAAAATGTACATTCATAAAAGGGAAAACTACTCAGCAGTAAAGGAAAATGAGTTCCCCAAAACATGTTACAACATAGATGAACCTGGAGGACATTGTGTTGAGCAAAATAAGTCAATCACAAAACAAATATTGTGTTTTCACTTTTATGAAATGACACGAGTATGTAAATACACAGAAACTAAAAAGAATTTTACTCAAATTTCAGTATATTAGTAAATTATTGGAACACAACCATGCTCTTGGGCACTTTTGCAGAGTAGTTGCAAGTGACTGTATAAGCCCACAAAGCCCGATATATTTTCTAGAGCTGGCCCTTTATAGAAATGGTTTGCCAAACCCTGACTTAACAGGATGAGTAGAAGTTAGCCAGGTAAAACGGAGTCAGCAAGAGCAAAGTTGGTTTCTGATGGGCTTTGTATAACTGCACTTACTGCAGTACCTTTAATATGCTTGGAGTGTGGCATATTAAAGGTATTGTTACAGTGTAGAACTGTACTCTGTAGGGTTTTCATGGGTGTAATCTTTATGGAAGCAACTTGCCAGACCTCTCTTCCTTGGTGTCGCTGGGTGGGTTTGAACCACCAGCCTTTAGATAAGTAGTCAAGTGCAAACCATTTGCACCAGGCAAGGAGACTAGTTGAGGCTTTTGCAGTCATCCAAATGAGATGTTGGTAACCTGGTGCAGTCATCCAAGTGAGATGTTGGTATCCGGTGCCACTGGGGATAAGACTACATTGATTTGAGAGCCATTTAGGAAGCAAAATTGAAAGACCTTTGTGATTGGTTGGAAGGATCGAAATGTAATTATTCTTACCCAAACACCCATCTTTACTTTTTTCATCTCCAAAGTGTGTTTCATCTTGTTATGAGAATGCATAGTTGAAAAAAAAAAATCCATGTTTAGTAATATTCTTCAGAGTAAAATTCTTCAGTGGTGTTTCATTCCCCCAGTGATTCTGCCCGCAACTTGGGTATTGAAGCTGTAACTCAATGTGGCCTTTTCATGCTGTTCCCTTGTGACAAGGGGTTTGGTTTTTAAGGAGCAGAGAAGCTATTAGCAGATTAATGTTCTCTTTCAAGTTTATCTTGGTTTAAAAATTTTTTGCAAATATTTCTTTGTTGGGAGTTCTCAGGCTTTTTGGTTTTCAAGGCGGGTTTGTTGGGACAGATGTTTTTCATTGCCTGGAGCACTTAGCCCCTTTCCAGCTTTAGATCACTTCGACCTTTCCCTTTTAGGACTTCGGAGGTGAAGTCTGACTGACCGTTGAAGGTAATGGGTAATGAGATCATTATCTTATATTTTACAATGTGTTTCTTGACTTTCAATGTGTTTACTCACACATCAGCACACTTTATTACCATAGTAAACCTGCCCAGAGGGCAGGACAAGTTAAGTAGCTGGGATTAAAAGACATCAGATGATTTAGCCAGAGTCAAAAGATCAATAAATAGTAGAGCAGGTCCTAGAATTTAGGTTTTTCAGACCTCACCATTTTTTATTTTTATTTTTTTCTAAAATGGAGTTAGACTCACTGGAATAGTTACACCTTCAGCAGTAAAGACACCCAGATGATTTTTTTTTTTCCTCCTCTCTATGCTCTGGGAACTTCACCCAGGCACCGGCGTAGGCCTTTCTTATGCTTTCAAGCCATATGTGGACTGCCAGTGATTCCTACACAACACATGGAAAATCTGTGACCTATATGCTAAAGTGTATATATTAATTCCTTCCCCCCTCCTCTTAGGTGGTTCTAACTTTGATGATTCGAGGCCAAATGGGAAAGGTCTGCTTGGAGACCAAGGTTCCTGGGGTCAGGATAAACCAGAAAATGTGTTCACAAGGTAATGCAGTTCTCCCTTCCTTTTGTACCTCTTCAGACTTGATTTTCCTCATTCATAGAACTGAGGCCATTGCTGTGCATACTGTAAGTTATCACAAATGACATTTAGTGAGCACTTACTTTGATGCCAGGCACCATGCTAGGTGCTCTGACATGGATTTTCTTGTTTTAACCTAAGAGGTAGGTACCATTATTATCTCTGTTTTGCAGCTAAGGCAAAAACCACTTTCTTCAGTCTGTGTCAGTATTTTAATTATGTACTTAAAAAGCAATGAACAATCCCTGAACTTCAAGTGTTGTTAGATCTGTTATTCTCAATTCACTTTTTCTTAGTATACATAGATAACATTTTTACATACACTTATAGGTTGCATAACCTCTCAGGTGAAGAGAGGTTATATATATATAACTCAACCAAGATCCAGAACTAGCAAATTTAGAAAATCCAGGATTTGAAACTAGCAGTCTGACCCCACTTTAGAAGTGTGTAAGATTAGAAATGTTTTGAGTTCTCCCTCCCATTCTTTTAGTTCTTCCTTTTTTTTAAATTTAGGAATCCTGGTGGTATGGTTGTTAAAGAGCTTTGTTGTCAACCAAAAGTTGGTGTTTCGAACCCACCAGTCACTCCCTGGGAATAAGATGTGGTAGTTGGCTCTGTAAAGATTAGCAGCCTTGGAAACACTGTGGGACAGTTCTATTCTGTCCTATAGAGTCCTCTTACAGAGCTGCAATGAGAGTCAGAATTGACTTAAGGGCAGTATTTTTTTTTTTTTTTTTCTTTCTTAGTTATTCCCTTTTTTTAGTCTGTATTCCAGTGCCCCCTACTGATCATAGCAAGAATCATCTGGCCGAGGTAAAACCACTTTCTTAAGTTTCTGTCAGTATTTTAACTATGCACTTAAATAGCAATGAACAATCCCTGAACTTTAAGTGTTGTTAGATCTGTTATTCTCAATTCACTTTTTCTTAGTATATGTAGATAACATTTTTACATACACTTAATTGGGATGCAGATAATGATACTAAATGTTTTATGTATCTTAATTCATTAAAATCTTCAACAAATGTTTCTTGAGCAATTGTATAGGATTCTGTTAGATAAATATGTCATATTTGCTTAACTTTTAATACTGCATTTAAACAGTTTTCAATAACTATCAACACTTTTGTGAAAATTGCCTTTCTTTTCATTATGGATTATCAGTAATAGATTTATGAAACTAGAATTACCAAGTCAAGAAATCTGGATAGTTTCACAATCTTGCTCTGTGACACTAGTATATAGAAAGTATACTGTCAGGTCTGACTTCTAATCTAGATTCTGCCACCAAATAGCTGGGAAACATTGATGATGCTGGGTCTCATTTGAGAAATGAAGGAATTAGATTAGATGAGCTTCAAGGTAAGGTGCTCTGGTGGCATAACACCTAAGGCATTTAACTGCTAATCAGCAGGTTGGTGGTTCAAACCCACCAGCCACTCCATGTAAGGAAGACTGGGCAATTTACTTCCATAAAGAATCACTGCCTCGGAAACCCAAGGGGGTTGCTATGAGTCAGAATCGACTTGATGGCAGTGAGTTGTTGAGCTTCAAGATTACCTTCTGGTCTGAGATCTTTTGAGTCTGTTACAGAAAAGTCTCCGGAAAGACTGTACCAATATACTGCATAATCAACAGTGTGTAAGTTCATATAACTCCACATAGAAATAGCATGGTTTTAGCAAATACATTTTATCTTAGCCTCCTTTTGTGTTTTATGACTCAAGTATTGTGTGGAAACCTCTAGCTTTATATTCACGTGTTCTGTCATGGAGGACTTACCAAAATCTGATCATTTTTTGTGTATGTTTCTAGACAGAATAAATCCAAGTCTGACTTTACCAACATGGTTCGCTCCTCCACTATCACAGTGTCAGACAAGGCACATATTTTATCGATGCAGAAGTTTGGACTGCGAGATACAATTGTGAAATCACACCTAATACAGAAAGAAGAGGATTATACCTATATCCAGAACTTCAGGTGGCTAACTGGGTCATAGACTGTTTTCAAAGCAAAAATGATCGTTCAACTCTGAAATGTAAACACTTCCCCCAAACCCTGGATTTTGAAGTAAATCATTTTATAGATTCTCTTCCATCATTTTCTAAATGAGTGATTTATTTCCACTTTTTTTTTTAAAAGAAAGCTTTAATTTTTTTTTTTTTTGAAATTAATAGACTTTACAGCTTTAGAGCAGTTTCAGGTTTACAGAAAAATTGAGCAGAAAGTAGAGTTCCCGTACACTCCTTCCCCGACACATAACAGTGTCCCCTGTTACTAACATTAGCGTCATACATTTGTTGTAATTGATGGATAAATACTGATACGTTGTTGTTATTAACTAAAGTCCATAGTTTACATTAGAGTTCACTTTTTGTGTTGTAAACAGATGAGTTGACAAATGTATAATGTCATGTATCTGCCGTTACAATAACCGTACAGAATTGTTTCACTGCCCTGAAAACTCCCTGTGCTGCACCTGTTTATCCTTTTTTCCCTCCCCACAACCTCTTACTTTTTCTTTTACACCCCTTAATTCTTACTGTCTGAATAGTTTTCCCTTTACTAGAATGCTATATAGTTGGAATTATATAGTATGTAGCCTTTTCAGACTGGCTTCTTTCACTTAGCAATATGCATTTAAGATTCCTGGATGTCTTCATGGCTTGGTGACTCATTTCTTTTTATAGCTGAATAATACTCTATTGTATGGATGTACCACAGTTTGTTTAGTCACCTGTTGCAAAACATCTTGATTGCTTCCATAGTTTGGCAGTTATGAATACAGTAGCTCTGACATTTGTGTATGGGTTTTTGTGTATATGTATGTTTTCAACTCTTTTGGGTGAATACCAAGAAGCGTGATTGCTGGGTTTTGTGGTAAGACTATGTATAGTTTTATAAGAAACTGGCAAATTGTCTTCCAAAGTGAATATACTAGCAATAAATGAGAGTTCCTGTTGCTCTATGTCCTTGCCGGCATGTGACGTTATCAGCATTTTGGAGTTCAGTCATTCTGATGGTTGTGTGGTGATAATCTCATTGTTTTAATTTGCAATCCCTAATGACATTTGACGTTTAACATATTTTCATATGCCTTCCATGCTTTTTAGCAAGCGTCTGTTACGGCTGGGCACTCTGGTTAAGTGTGGTGTGGTATGAGTGACACAATTTGCAAATAGTTCCAGAAATATTTGCAGAGATGTGGGTACAGAAGAGGGAGTGAGATCCTGGTTTTTGTGTATTTCTCTGAGAGGGGTTTTGATTCCTTCAGTCATTCTGGGCCTTTGGAGAAAGTCAGTTAAAATGCAGTCGGTATTTTAATAATCTTTTTAAACAGAATTATTGACAGTTAAATTAATTAAAGTTTTAGGATTCTTCTAAATTTTTTAAAACCATTGTACTGGGACTATGAGACAAAGTAACATCATTTCTAGAGATATAAACAGTAAACTATGAAAAACAGTCCTTTGGACACTGATGTGTTGTTTTTCTACAGAATGTAATTACCAGGGCACTTTTCAGATTTTCACTTCATTAGCATGCACAGGGTGAAGAATTACTTTGTGGATTATGCTCTATTATGGCTGTTAAAAGGAAATAGGAATGTTCAAAGTATGTCTCTACTGTTTGTGTAGTGTTGTCCCAAGAGCAACAAATATCATGGCAGACTGAAGGCCATGTCTTGGTGCCAGTCATTGGTCTAGGTTAGATATGACATTTCTTACGTCTTAAAAGTCTACTCCAGAGAGGCCACGTCAGCACAAAATGTGTTTTTCCATCATCTCCCAAGTCTTCCCTATTCATTGATTGATTCTCCTTGGTGACAGGTTCTTTGTGGGAACATACAATGTCAATGGCCAGTCCCCTAAAGAATGCCTCCAACCCTGGCTAAGCGATGGTATCCAGGCTCCAGACGTGTACTGTGTCGGGTGAGTGCTTCTCTCCTAGTCGTTAGTACATCTCAGCGGCGTGTTGCTGTGGTTGAAGGGATGGGGATTTGAATAGGTATCTGAGTCTTTACTCAGGTGAAGGAAATTGAAAAATGAGTATGTGGTTAATAGCAGCTGCTTATCTATTTGATGTTCTTCCTCATGGTTGACAAATTGCTGGGTTTAAAAACACTGCTTGGCATTTAAATGCTAATGTTTAATTTTTAGTGTAATCCTCTGTCAGAATTAGTGCATCTTGAATGGATTCTCATTAGTTTGTCATTTAACACTTTGTTGGTCACAAAGTAACATATCTTTTGCCAGGGAAGGAAGATTAGTTTTTGAAAGCCCCATTAGCCTTTTTTTTTTGCACACTTCTTGTCTTCTCACCACTCTACTAGGTACTGTTAGGGGGTGAGGAGCAAAGGAAAACTCTGTGGCATAGAGGAAAGCAGTCAAGAAATCAGACAACATAGTTCATTGGGAAAATCTGCAAAAGATCTCTTTAAAGTGTTAAGAAGCAAAGATGTCACTTTGACAACTAAGGTGCCCTTGACCCAAGCCATGGTCTTTTCAGTCACTTCATATACATGCAAAAACTGGACAATGAAAAAGGAAGATAGGAGAAGAATTGACATATTTGAGTCGTCGTGTTGGCAAAGAATATTGAATATACTGTAGACTGCCAGAAGGATGAAGGAACCTATTTTGGAGGAAGTATAGCCAGAGTAAGTTGCTCTGGTGGCATATAGGTAAGGCATTTGGCTGCTAACCAGAAAGTTGGCACTTCAAACTCACCAGCTGCTCCATGCAGGGAAGATAAGCAATCTACTTCTGTAAAGAGTGCTCCTTAGAACAAGGATGGCAGGACTTCATCTTGCTTTCTTTGGACACATCATCAGGAAGGACAGATCTTTACAAAGGTACATCATGCTTGTCAGTAAAAATGAGGGAAACCCTCCATGAGATAGATTGACACAGTAGCAGTAGCAATGGGCTCAGAACCAATAGCGGAGGGGATGGCATAGGAGCAGGCAGTGTTACTTCTGTTATACATACAGTCACTGTGAGTTGGAACCAACTCAACAACAATTATTGTTGTTGTTATGTGCCGTTGAGTCAGAGCTGACCCATAGCAACATCTCCTTAGGTTTCCAAGGCAGTATCACTGCAGAAGTAGATTGCCTAACCTTCCTTCTGAGGAGTGGCTGGTGGGTTTGCCAGCCTTCTGGTTAGTAGTCAAATGCCTTAGGCACTATACTACTACAGCTCCTCAACAACAACTAACAACAACAAAAAGTTTAAATCCCAGTTTGCACTTGGCACTAATGTGAACTCACTGAAGTCAGTGATCACAGGTGTAAAATGGGGCTCTTCCAGTTACTTCATAGGTTGATTATGAAGATTAAATGAACTGACTTTTGTGAAAGCACCTGTAAGGTCTTTGGCATTTAGTTCCTTGTCAATAAGTGTTTGTTTTTCTTCCCTCCGAAGGGAACCTCCTGAAGATCTTATAGTTGAGCTAAAAAGTTAGGACTTAAGCACCTACACCAATCTGGGAATATGTCATATTATCTTTCCCTACTTTCTAACTGGTGCTTCCCCTAATAGGTTCCAGGAGCTTGATCTGAGTAAGGAAGCTTTTTTCTTTCATGACACCCCAAAGGAAGAAGAGTGGTTTAAAGCCGTAACAGATGCTCTGCATCCAGATGCCAAATATGCAAAGGTAAGAGAGGAGGTAGGGTCCTTTTAATTCTATGGTGCCATGAAGGGAAATTCTAAGATAATTTTTCATTCTATCATATTGTTGTTGTTAGCTGCTGTTGAGTTGGTGTCCAACTCTTGGTGACCCCGTGCACAACAGAGTCAGGCATTGTGATCCTAGGGTTTTCAATGGCTGATTTTCCGAAGTAGATCCCCAGCCCTTGCTTCCTAGTCTGTGTGACTCTGGCGGCTCTGCTGAAA